AAGACATCTAGAATACACTAAATTCGAGCACAAGCATAATCGGTCGAATAGGGGAAAGATCGGTAGAGAGAACAGCGAATCACATCTTTGGTGTAATATCGTGCTTATTATAGTTAGAACTCTTATTGTCATTATTGTTGCTATTTGGATACTGCTGCTTAGGTGGAGGAAGTCTCGCAGGAAAACGGTTATCCCGAGGACGCTTGAAGCCCTGACGACTTGGGGTTGAGGGTGAGAGACGACGAGAAGAAGAAGAACTAGCCCAAGGTTTGTCAGAGGGACTATCCCCTCCTAGATATGAGGAACTAGCAGAACGTGGCGTGCCCATCGACAAGTTGGCAGCCTCAGAAGCTTTGGCCGACCACAAGTCGAGATTCCGGTAGCAATCAGCTAGTGTCCGAGATCCACCGCGACATGCATCTTCAATAGCCATACGGATAGCTCGGTCAACCGCAATGGCAACCGACCAATTGTACTCGGTTGCATACCATAAGATCTTGTGGAAGTATTGAAGAAGATCGAGAATCATCACATTGTCAATAGGTTGACCTTCGAGCTCGACGTTGGCGAGGCAAGCATTGGGGATGTCGACACTGTTCCCGAGCGAGCCATCTTTCAGATGGAGTGCTTCCTGTACGGACAATAGAGCGATGGCGAACCACCAAAACGCTCGGGACCATTTAGCAGTAAGATTACGTTCCCGCTGCTGTTTGGCTCCATTTTGTGGCGTAGATGTGGACTTGATTAAAACTGGGCGGCCCTCCAAGTCTTCAGCAAGGAGTCCTTGCCAAGGACGCCGTCGGCCGCGTTCGACGAAAGCTCCGATGTCTGCGACATGAACTTGTTAAAGTCGACGAACGTGGTCATATTCAACCATAAGCAGTCGAACATTTTCTGCGGGGGGACCAAACTTGCCGGTAGGCCGCTGCAACCAAGCTTCGTCGCCAACAACTTCATAGATGAGGTCAGCAGTTTAGATTGCCGCCGCTTCTGAGCAGTAGATTTGCCAAGCAACGGAGTGGAGGACTCACTGACGTCCCTCTTAGCTCGGGTTACTTGGACTAGTAGTTGGTCAGCTGCCTCATCTCTGGCGGCCGCCAGGAGAGACGCAATCGTGCCCTTCCAGAGAGCTGGATTTTTCCCCTCCGGAACAGGTATATTAGAGAGAGAGGCTGCTATGAAAGCTGGTGAGAGAGAACCCACAGCCCGAGCTGTACCAATGTTACCAGAGATTAGAAAAGCATACAGGGCACTGGCTACTTCTTGATCATTACATACGGAACCGAGGATCTCTCGGACTTCTGGATAGTCTTGTTCGGGTGCTTCGTCAGTCATTGAGAAACAGGGGAATTGAAGAAATCTCAAAACTGAAAATCGTCAGACATCTGGATGGAGCGCGGAACCGTGCATTGTACTGTAGTGATTATAAAGTACCCACATTACACCAGAGGCTAAACACGCTGTGCTCAGACACGCGGACCGGTGTCCGGGTAAATACACTGAGGAGACACTGGCTCACTCAGGTGCAACGTCAATAGGACGCAAGG